GGGGTTTCACCATGTTGACCAGGATGGTCTCGATCTCTTGACCTCGTGATCCACCCGCCTCGGCCTCCCACAGTGCTGGGATTACAGGCTTGAGCCACCGCACCCGGCCAAGAGAGTAGTATTTTCAAAAGGTTATAATGCGGCTCTCACCATGGCCCAATCATTCCACACAGTCTTCGGTATAAATTTTCCTTCATCTCGTGCATATTTGAGTTCCAACCCAACTCCTTCCCATACACCAGCATCTAGGGTTCCAATATCCGGGAACCACGGACAGTACTGATCCACTGCCTCAAAGAGAATAATGAGATTTTCCATCCCAATCTTTACACCGCCTTTCTTTAAAAGTTCCCGAATAAGGGCTGGGCGTGGTGGCTCACGCCTGTAATCCAAGCACTTTGGAGGCCAAGGTGGGCGGATCACCTGAGGTCGGGAGTCCAAGACCGGCCTGACCAACATGGTGAAACTCTGTCTTAAAAAAAAAAAAAAAAAAGTTCCCGAATAAGACAAAGGTAATTACCATCCTTGCTGTGTGATTTTCCCATTTTGTTATCCTAGAATTTTCCAGGCACACTAGCTCACCGCTAGGCTGACCAAAACACGTTCCCAGGAGTCCCTGGATGAACTGCTTCCTGCAAATGACCACACTCAGGCGTCCCTTCCTCAGGAGCACAGGGAATCCACGTTGAGCGCCAGATGTTGGTAACGAGCCCAAACCTGTACGTGGGTGCCCCGTGTCCCAGCAGTGATGAGGGAGTGAGAAAAGAAATAAAGACAGAGACACAAGAATACAGCATGGGTCCAGGGTCCAGCACTCTGGCGGACCCAGCTCTGGGCTTCATGAGCTTTTATTGGGTGCTTTATCTTGTTAATCTTGCAGGCTGTGGGGAGGGGGGTTGAGGAGGATGATAGCCTGAGGAAGAACATGTGTCTCCAGCATTCAATAGCAAACATGGTTTTCCTAAGAAATGCTAACTAAAGACACTGAGGTTTTACCACCCATTGTCTATCCAGGTGTTTTGGCAAGAGAGGTCAGCCGTAAGGTCTGACCACACACAGTGCATCAAGGGGCTTTTATCTGTCGAGCATCATAGGCCAAGTCTGTGGCGTTCCCATGATCTTTACCTTGTAAGGCCTTCCAGCCTTACCAGCTCCCATCTTCAAAGACCTTCCCAAGTCTTGTGAGCAGAGGTTGCATTACTTGCCAGAGTGTTTTGCATAAGCTCCCTTTAGGAGATCCTCGCACAAACTCTAAGTTGGGAGGAGTTGTTGGACCAAAGCAATTTTTTCTGCTCTGCAATGAGTGTTCCGTGGTTACAGGGCGCTCTCAGATGCTCTTCACCGTAGGCCTCCTGTTACTGCTGGATCTCTGCTTTTATTTTATTGCACCATAGTTTGGATATGATCTGTGACACAAATCTCAGTGTGTAAAAAGCAAAGCAAGCTTGTAATCATTTAGCTATAAGTAACACAGGTCTGCCCCTGGCCATTTCTTCCCACAAAAATGACATCAAATCTTTCTATTTAGGAATATGTGGGTTTTTTTTTTTTTTTTTTTT